TTTTTTAAACTATTTTTTCTTAAATTAGTGTATTGTCATCGGTCCTCGATATATCTACAAAGTTTGAACGAATTCTGACCGTTTAAAGTCAGTCATTATCACGCCCAAAGGAGTCGGTTACAAACATACAAACAAACATACAAGTGAAGCTAATATAAAGCGTGTAAAAAGACTCAGTGTCACTGGAAAGGTAGCTGGTACCTATATCTCAGGTTTTACCTTTTTAGGTACCAGCCGCATATTCTATATGTAATTGTTTATAGCTAAAAATAGCGCCCTTTTTATTACTATATTCTGTACAATTTACCTTTAATAAATAAATAAATATTAAAAAGTATTAATCTATCAAATAAAATAAATTGAATATGCTACAAATGTAATGCTATAATACCTTAGAGGAAATTACAGCAAAAACGATGTCTAATAATCACAAGCAACTGTCGGCAATTTTATGATTCAGGTAAGACCTGTTTCCCTTGTTTCACTCTTACTATACTTAGTTCAATCGGTTAAACAATATTCGGTTAATACCGATTGAATTTAAAAACAATGAATGATGATATCAATGTTGATATTACTAAAATATAAGACTGCAAAAAGTCGCTTGTTTGTAAAAAGAATAGTATACTTATATTTAGAAAATAACAAATTTTTACATTGTATAAAATAAAGTCGCTTTTATTGTTGTGTACTGTTAAATTTTTGAAACTAAGCGAAGTGATTCAAGAGGAAGGTTTATATGTAAAATACATGCATATTATAAAGGAGAAAAGCTGAGAATTTCAAAGTTTTGTCTTAAAAACTATTATTTTGCGCGCTTACATTGACATAGAAAACATAATGACAAAATAATAGACATAGACAAAATAATGTACTACGAAATTGTTTTTCTTAAAAAATCTATAAGAAAGTAAGATATGTGTATCCATTTTTATCTTTCAAATATTGCAAAAAAAAAAAAGTTTTTTTACGAAGCTTTACTTTAAACAATACATTATTAGTCCTTATCCAAATAAACACCACAGATACGTTGGGCATTTAATGTAGACTAAAATTTATCTATTCAGAAAATCATTAAAATGAATATTTTAGATGTTAGAAGTTGCGCGGCAATGGCGGGCAGGATCGTAGCGGGACTATAGATATTGGCATATAAAGATGTCCTGCAGTACCTACAGTCCTATCATAATAATAGTATAATTAATTACTCTACATCGACACCACATTAGTACTATTAGTAGTATCTACAATGCACCCGTGCGAAGCCGCATCGCTAGTAAAATTATATATTATGTGGAAACCTCTAATTGGTGGGGCAGTGGTAGCGAATGCGACTGCTGTGCTGAGGTCTCGGGTTGATTCCGGGTCGGACCAAATGCTTGTATGATCTGTAAATATTTGTTTTCGGAGTTTCGGTGTTTTCTGTGTATAATACGTACTTTTTACAAAAGTAAAAAGTATAAAATTCTATTAGTCAATCTAGCTTTCATACTACTAAAATAAAATATACATATAATAGGAAGACATGTAGCTATCAAAGTATTTCACATTTATTAATAATACCAGATATCGCCGGACGGTTGAATGTCGACCGTTTTTAAATTCTCGTTTATTTAAAAAACCAGTAGAACTTGAACTGTCTTTCTATACACTTTTGAACCCTGAAAGGCAAAACATATACTGAACATGTTTTGGTTGTGCCTAGGTCATATCTTGTAACTGAATCTTGAACCAGTTTTGCAAGCTTTTATTTAACTTGCTTTATATTTTTTAGATCAAATCTTATAACTGAATTTTAAACCAGTTCCCATTTATTGATGCTCTGTTTGTACAGTATTCAAAATGCAGTATAGTACGGTCAACCATTGGCTTTAAGTAGATTAATTTTTCTATTGAAGACATTAATATCCACCCAAAACTTGTTTTCACAAATGATTTATATCCGATCGGATTATAGTCTGGTGACTCCGATCCGTAATAACCTTTCAAATTAATTAATAATAATCCACATACATAAGATAATTTTTGAGTTATAGGTCAATGTTAATAATTGTCTTTTACTGATTAAAACAAATACTTGTTTAAAATTGACATCATGTCTCCTACATTACCACAGACAAAGTCCATAATTAACTGTAATTTACATAATTTATTTTATATAAACTTTGTAGTATTTTCTTCTGTTTTTAATAAAATCCTCCGTTTCCTATATTTGTGATTGAATTAATTCTTTTTTTCTTATTTTTTCTTCTTTTTTTTTTTATTTATTAAATTAGAAATTACATTTCTTGATACCGACAGTAAGCAGGTAATGTTTTATTTAATGTTGCCATGAGTCGGATAATATTTTTACTTTCTAGTAAGTTTTACGTTGTTGTCTCTACAAATAATACGAGCATCCAATAGAAATAATCTTTATTCCAAGGTTGAGACTAGATCTAGAGCAAATAGCGGTTTAACGCAAGTTACAGTCCTTGTTGGGTAGTTGCGCTGCTCGCCACCCTCATAGGCTGTCAATGCATCAATATCAGTGATACTTTTTTTTTAAATAAATCTTTAAACGTTTGGAAACCTCCATGGGGCATCACTGACATCATCATTGTGGTAACGGTGAAATGGTATGTCGGAAACGAACCTATGTTACATCACAAGTCAGTCTATTACAAGGCTTCGGGTATACTCTAAGAAGAACGTCCGCGATATTCAATATGCTGATAGTTTAGAAACTCTACAAATAACTCCATTAGTATAACATTAATAATAGTAATGTAAGCTGTAGATGTGTTTTTGTCACTTATCAAAATAATTGTGACACGGGCCTGTTGCTCAACCTAGTTATGGTTCTCTTCAATAGTTTTTTTATGGTTAATATGAGCCCAATAAACTGGAATTAGTGACTTGATACGCCTTTTAAACTATCTTAAATGACATACGGGTAAAATTATTACTACCGTACTCTTCTTTATAATACCAGTGCAACCTGGTCCGTTATAATTGTATGATTCGTTTATTAGAGAGACCGCTCCGCTATTAGATACTCCTGAATATGTTATTTTAAGCTTTTATTGTATGATACAAATTCGATATTCAAAAAAAAACATACCTATATGACAAATAAAGCGAAGAGAGCACAATAGCCTGTTACCAATTTTTGATACTTTTTTGCAAGTTGCAATTCTGTGAAGCTGTCTGAAACTCTTTTCAGAATAAGTATCTACTATTTTGTTTAAAGAACATTAAGACGGCGTAAGTAATATAGACCACATTATTTGCCATATGTGCCACAGCGAAGCGTGGCAGGGTACAGTTAGATTTACATAAAAAGAATGTAGGGTAAGGCGGTAAAGGTATATTATTTAAAACTCTTGAAAGCTACTCTACGAAGTGAAACTTTGTAGAGATGAAACTCGTATTGAAAATAAGTCCTTCGGGGTGGGTTTTTAAGAAATTTATTTTTAAAGCTAATCTTTTTCTTTATCATAATTGTTCATTGACGATAGTTTAGCAAGTACTCATAGAACGTGCTTGCTATGTCAACTACTTGTTATACCTACACAGATTTAACTTGGAGTAATTTACATTGGAATAAAATATTAGAGTAGAATACAATAATCTTTATTTACAACACCAAATAGCTTAATTTAAAAACTAAGAGATGCATACAATAAGGCGCTTTATCGCGAAGAGTTAGTGTAAGCAATATATAGAGGTAGGTACGTATTACATCTAGCTAAAAGACTAATCCTAACCTCATTATGATCAACAACATGGTAAAAATCTTTTATTGTTGAGTTGTTGTTGAGCACAATAGGCAGCAATGACATAAGGCTAATTGGAAAATGTTTATTTTGTCATAATACATAAGACGTTCAACTTTTCCATTCCGACGCGTAAAAGTGTAAAAAAGAAGACAATACATAATCGGCATTCGTAATTAAAGAGCACACGCGAACAACGGCAGGCGGCGCTGCGGCTCACCGGCACGCATGTCGCAAGGAGGTACAATAATATAATAACAATTTGTCACTGTACGCCAGCTAACTGCCGCGTTAATGGAACTACTCAATTCGTATTATGTACACGAAAATGTAATAATGCCACGAAATATGTCTTCCGTATAGACCAACTGATAAATCGCAATATCAGCCATCGCAACATCAACATCAAGTTAACTAATACATATCAAAATATATTAAATACTAATTAAAATTAAGACACAAAAAATAGCGAATAATATAATGTTATTTTAATATCACTAAGCATAGACAACTAAAACATTATTTTAACACTAACTACCTAAAATTACGTCGCGGAATAAAATAATCTAAAAGTCTCTGCCAAATGGACTTTTGTGGAGGCTTGTGGGTTCGCATCAGTGGTAATGAAGTGACGCATATTTTAACAGGCTTTTTGATGCATAACAAACGGATAGGGATGCTTAACCACAGGAGATCGTTGTAGTTCCAATCAGGCTGATGGTTGGTTTTGCAAAATTTATTGCTTGACTTTTTACCACTTGTCGCTGACTAGCCCCGCCAATCAGAATTACTGGAATCGAGCTAGCTGTTGTAGACGTACTAGATGGTCTTATTGTACTACCTAATGAACTGGAGAATGGCGGCCTAAATGTTGGTGTGGCAACAGTTTCGATGACTTCGTGAAAGATAGAATCATCGTAGTCTTTATTATCATCGACTAAAGGTCTTATAAAAACCACTTGGCGTAAACTATTTATATCATGCACTAACTTAGCATGTTCTTTTACTAAATAATCTCCTCTTCGGTATCAAATTATCAATAATACTGATGCTATCCATACGTCGCGACATTGCTTGACGATTAAGTACAAACTGCGCAGGTACATCCGGTAATGAACGTTTGGTGATCATTTTCCTGACGAGAGGTGTTTGTGAGCGCCAACCTAAACAAAGTTGCAAAAACCATTACAATACATGAGAAGTTTGATTAATACTGTTATAAATTTCATATTGACCGTATTATTACCTTCGTTCATAATTTTTGGCAAATCTTTCAGTTGAGTAGTCCACACAGTTTACCTGAAAGTAATTAACAAATGTAAAAAGCAGGAAAGCTATAACTTTAGCAGTTGATATCCTTAAAGAACATGCCGTTAACCGTTTATGTAGCTAAGAACGAGTCGTTAACAGCATGACAATGCACTGAAAGTTCAATAACTCGCTTGAGCCATGTACTTATATTCGCTACATTTAGATACACAATTCGCACAAGTACCTACTTACTTTCTTCATAATGTATTTTGCTTACTTTACTTCTATCTAATAGTATTGAACATCATTTGTGTATACGATATTGTCTTTGCATATATCAATATAGTATAATATTCATAGTAGATAAAACTGAAATCAAATAGAAGGGAACATATTTAAAACATTCACTCTTCTACTCTTATTAATTGAAGTATATTAGACGTGCATTGTTTACTATCGATATCAATTTTAACGCACTGCCCTGTTATGTATTTATTTAATAATAAACTTCCGTGTGGTGACGGATTAAGAATACAAATTGTCACCACCCCAATTCAATCCCGTGGGTGTCGTAAGAGCCGACTAAGGGAGCAAACTAAGCAGGACAACAGCACTGCAAAGAGAAGGAAACTTGAAACAAACCCTATACCAACCCGTCTGGCCAGCGTGGTATAGTAGGCCAAAACCTCCTTTCTAAGGAGAGGCCTATGTCCAGCAGTGGACTAGTATAGGCTGTTGATGTGATGATGATGATGAAACTTCCCTATCCCAATAATTATATCTAATTAACAATAAGAACTGCATATAATAAGTTTTATTAGATACTTAATTGATGTTCGTTTTTTAATGTAAACGATTGAAAAATTACTTGCACTGCACTTTGTTGTTACCTTGATTATATAAATTGTCAGCATGCGAAATATTCACGAAAGATAAGTAATTAAACCGAAATGTATAATTTACAATAAATATCTAAAATTGAAAACAAAAAAACATACCGTGTTTGAAATGCCAACATGCGGGGTTATGTAAGACAGGCATCCCCGCAACCAAAAGTAAACACGACACCTGGCACACCACCACCCACCACATGGTCGTACAATTAACTGCCACCTGCCAATGTGCTTGTTATCGTCCCCTCCATAGAGGTACTGAGGAAACAATGGCAGGCGTAACACTTTTTTACCCTTCTAGAAATGCTCTGACAAAACATCAATAACTTCTCCGAATACGGAACGGCGTTCTAAATTGAGCTTAAGTATATACACATACTTAGGCACACAACTTAGAAAAACTAAGCTTTTATTGAGCCGAAGTATGAATTCTTCTTCGGACCGTCACCCCATTGGGTTTGCACTGGGCTGCAATCGGACCGAAAAAAACCACAAAGGTAAAAAGGAGTGGACCTAAAATAGGAGGGCTCCAGGAACAACCTTTAATAATTCATCCGGAAAGTACATGTACAAAGTACAATTTTTTTTGGGTGTGGAATGCCCTCGGGCCAGCATCCCACCGGGGTTTGCGGTGGGCGGTGTGTCAGTATAGTAAACAGTAAAACGGTGTGCCTCACTGCTCCCGATATAGAAGAGATCGGGCAACAGCTTTTATTTAATCATCCGTAAAGTATATGTAATTCCTAGGTTACTTACCTTCACAGACACTCGATTTCCAGACCGATGGCTGCAAACGACAGAAGAATATTGACTAACTACAAGCGTCTGCTTGTGCCGCCTCGCCGCCTTCAACAGGGTATGCTCAATTCGCGAGTTAATAGGCTGCTTTAGACAAGTACGCTAAAGTAAATTAATAGGTAAAGCAAAGAAAAGTAAGCTAAGTTGATATAAATAGTAACTAATAGAAAAGAATAAGCCCTCGAAGCTAGTTCTGATTCTGGCTTTTGGCTCGCTAAGCTTGTAGGATAAAAATCTGAGCCTTTCTTACTAAGCTTATGGCTTCTTTTAAGATTAATGTTTTTGAATTACTTTAGTCATTGTTTTTAAAGAACTCTTCATTCAATTAATCCTAGTATTTACGATCACAAAAAATACTTCAACGCTGTAATAAACAATAAATACAAGGTTTTAAAATTATATTTAATTTTATAATAAATGAATTCAAGCTAAAAAAAAACAATTTAATAAACACAAAAGTCATAATTTAAAAATGATCAAACTGATCCATCGGAGTCTTCCGGGTCACACTTTTTCTTCAATTCATAAACAAAGAAGAATTGATAATAATGAACTACAAAGATATTTATTCCTGCTGATTGAACCAGGAGACAGATGTGATAGACTGGTGCAAAAAATAAGAATTAAACTTACCATCCTTACAAAAGATATATCCTCTGGAGATTTTATGTATAGGTACCAGTTACAAGCATTACTTTCCAAAGCTGGAAATGAAATCAATTATTTATTAAATTCAATCATAGAGGTATATAATCAATGAGATAACATAACATAGAACTTTAATTTTTAATTCTGTGGAGGGACGGGTGTCATGTCCCTCCAACACAAAGGGAGGATCCTCCGACCAGGCGAGGTGATCATGCCTGGCGGGCCGCGGCCCCAACGGTTTGATGTTGGGAAGTTGTATATATGCTAATCGGCGAGGGAATTCTTATATCGCGATACAGGATTTGCAATTCTTATTTTAGTAGTTACTCCGTAGTTCGGTGTGTCTTCATTAGATGGCGTTGTAGTGTGTTTCTGTTTTTTGTATGTGGGAGACGCCACATCACTCCCCTCCAAGACCGGAGGTCGATATATTATGAGTCAGCTGTCTATGCCCTGTTGTGCAGCGTGCCAGTGCCAGTAGTGAGTAGTTCCAGTGAGTCGGAACTGAGTGCCGCTAGTTCCAGTGGGTCGGAACTGAGTGCCGCTAGCCCCAGTGAGTCAGGGCTGAAGTCCGCTGATCCCAGTGAGTCAGGATGGCGTGCGGTGCGCGGTGCTGCGGTGAAGTCCCCAGTGAGTCGGGGCGCTGGCTGCTGCGTAGACGGGAGAGAAAATGCTCTTCTTACGTGGACCGTAGGTGCAGTGTGCTGTGCCTAGACGCTGATGAGGCCGTAGAGGTAACCAGACTGAGGCGGTCGCTACCTGCGTGTGGTATCCCTGTAGAGGCCGAGGTTGCTGGCTGGCTGAGGCTTGATTACTGCTCATCGCTGTGGGAGTGTAGACGATGGTGCTGCTGATGATCTGCTCCTTTTGAAGGATTTTCTCCTTTTGGCTGCTTCCAATCACGTCGGGGTCACCGCTATGGAGGAACGGGTGTCATGTCCCTCCAACACAAAGGGAGGATCCTCCGACCAGGCGAGGTGATCATGCCTGGCGGGCCGCGGCCCCAACGGTTGATGTTGGGAAGTTGTATATATGCTAATCGGCGAGGGAATTCTTTATATCGCGATACAGGATTAGCAATTCTTATTTTAGTAGTTACTCCGTAGTTCGGTGTCTTCATTAGATGGCCTTGTAGTGTGTTTCTGTTTTTTGTATGTGGGAGACGCCACAATTCAATGCGTTACGATTAACCTGATTATCAAAAGTGAGTTAAGGCTTGTTTTAATTAAACGCAAGACTAGCTTGAACTCTAATTACGACGCGTGTATGCAACAAGGGCTCGAACTTTTTAGTTTAGTGAGCAACTTTTATTCATCATCATCATAATTAACAGTCTATAATAGTCCACTGCTGGACATAGGCCTCTCCTTAGAAAGGAGGTTTTGGCCTACTATACCACGCTGGCCAGACTGGGTGGTATAGGGTTTGTGTCCTTCTCTTTGCAATGCTATTGTCCTGTGTAGATTGCTCCCTTAGTCCAGTTCTTACGACACCCACGGGATGAATAGGGTTGATGACATTCCGTATTCTTAATCCGTCACCACACGGGTTTTTTATTACTTTTTATTACCACCATACGGGTTTTTTATTACTCCAATTTCATAAAAAAGACTCGTAAGACTCTTAAATTTAGGTCTAAAAGGCTTTGTCAATCACTTTTTTTACTTTTAGAAACCCCCTCGGGCCGTCACCCACACCGTGGTTTGCGACGGGGTGGTGTGTCGGAATCAGACCGACTAAAACCACACGGTGTGCCATTCTGCGCCTGTAATGGAAAGGATCCGGGGACTGCTGTTATTAGGACTTCCGAACCCCTCCGTAGCGCCCTGGCCGCAACGGCGTGGGCAACCACTTCGGGTACATTCTCTACGAGCGACGTCCAGCAACGCTGGACGTCGCCTCTTTGCGGCTGGCCGTTATGGCCGCTGGCGAGTGGAAGGGAAAACCCGTCCCGTTAACCTGCGGCCACACTCAAGGCGCTGGTAAGCGCGCCTTCGCCGCCCGGTTCGTCGATGGCGAATTGGGTCCGAGTGGAGATCATCTTCCCGGGCCCGTTCTGCCGCCTCCTTCTGCGAGATGTCGTCTTTGCAGAAGGATGCAACCGTAGTAAAACAACTGTCACTACCGGCCATGGAGCATAGGGACGCCCGGTAGCGAGAGTGCCTCTCCAATGACTGCAATGAGGACCCGACGCTGAGACAGCCAAACCGGGCAAATTGCCGGCGTGTGCTGCAATCGCAGTGGTGACAGGCGGGACTCAATTCCCTCCTAGCGATCGAGTGCACATACTTCCCGAAGCAAGCCATGCCCGGAAAGGACCTGCGTCAGTCGGCGCTTCCACGGCGGCAAAAACCGGTACGTGGAGCCTCCAGCCGGGACGACCAACAAGCCATCATGGCTCGGCGAGCGGCCACGCCTCTTCGGGCAGGGGACCCGACCGCCGCAACCCGCCTGGAACTCAGCCGTCCGCCGATAAATTTCGGCGAGCACCTCAGCCTCCAAATCCCACGGAGGACTTCCGGCCAACGCGCATGCCGCCTCCGTCGACACGGTGCGGTAACCGCGTATGACTCTAACCGCGAACCCCCGTTTAGTCCAGGGTGAGACCTACATACTCCAACTCTAATAAGCGAGCGGCGGGAACGGTACCTCTTCTTTCCTGTGGAAACCATAGGGCTTCCGTCTCATGAGGTGCTACCCGTAGACCCAGACTACTAATCTTTTAAAAACATATAGATACTATTTCTTTGATTCCTGTCTTGAAGTGAGACTATTAAATACTGCGTGATTGCTCCTTTGATCGACAGGTTAGGCGCTCTTAGTATTGTCATTACTCCGTATTGTGTAACTAACTATGAAAATGAATGATATATCTCGCACTGTATAATGACGCCTTACCCATAAAAAACCGCTTAACCCGCCAGACATAGCCTA